TTTTGTGTTGTGTTTCGATAATTTTGTGTTGTGTTTCGATAATTTTGTGTTGTGTTTCGATAATTTTGTGTTGTGTTTCACAAATATTGACTTGTATTTCAAAAATATTGTGTTGTGTTTCAAGAATTGTTTGTTGTGTTTGCAGATATGGGCCACCGTATTTATCAAAGCAGAGTCCCTACTGTCTGTGGGTGTGCCATTTTCAATAGATGGTAAATAAAAGGGTTTTTAGTTTATTTATTTATTTATTTATTTATTTATTTATTTATTAATACAAGGAAGATCATTAGTTACAATCATATATACCTGAGGCCCGACATGAGTAACATAAAAAAAACTAGATCGAACGAGACGAGCTGTCTAGAAAACGTTGCGCAGATACAGAAATCATAAATAAATAAATAACCTCTGATGAATAATGTCGCTTAGTTCAAAGTTCCTCTTCTCTGTCAGCCTTATCTTCTCATGATGTTTAGCTTTCTTTCCCCTTGTTCGAATTCCTCCGTTCGCTCTTGTTTATTTTGTCACAGATATCAGAGATGGACTTCCTCCTTGCTGGCCTGTCTGCAAGAATCTCTTTCCACGAGACGTTTCCGAATATCTTTCCGAATACCATTGAATCTGAGAAACGACGGACTGGTCTTTGTAGAACCCACCTCTGCTAGTTCGCCATATAGGACTGCTTGGACTGATCGTCCATCTGGGATACGAGCAACTTGACCCATCAAGCGCGGCAATAAGTATGTTATTATAAAATAGGCTAGAAAAATCACACGTTCACATGATTACAGTGTGAGAGCCTAACACTAATTTTTGTTTTTTTAAAAAATACAGAGTTGCATTGTGTGAGATCCTGCGTAGAGAATCCTTAAAGCAGCGCTACCATAGGAGAAGCTGCGCTTCAAGCACTCTGTTCTAGACTTAGGTAATGTTTAAGTTTGTTAACTGATCGAGCAACCTTTTTCTATTAAAACGGCAGATGAATAGGTAAGAGTTTGAAACCCGGGAAGGAGCTTCATTTTAGTAAACTGGCTCTCCCGGATTTCCCTCCGGGTTTTGCAGTTATTCAACGGAACGTGATTTTCTAGCTTGTGCCGCCATTTTGAAACCCGACAAACCCCGCCGCCTCCTTGTCAGGATCATGAGAAAGGTCATCGAAAGTTGCAATCTTGCTTTCTATTCATATCTTTTCAGACATGCCTGCTTGCACGCCGAAAGAACCAAATTTTATGCGCTCTTTTCAGTCATGGGATCTCTAATATATATATTTTTATAACCAGATGATTCTAATTAGCAAAAATGTTGAAAACGGCGTCAGGAAAGATCTGTTTACGACATGTTAAATTGTTTGCGCTGACCGTTTGAAACTGACCTTGTACTTACCACTACTGCGATTCTTTTGAATCACAGTTGGAGTAAGGCTATTCCCAATTTGCTTCGAGTATTAGATGATTAATACCTTCCTTCCGACGGTTTTTATTTTCTTTAAAAGGAAAGATAGTAAAGTAGATGTGTTGTTGATCTTGCCTTCGTCGGAGCTAAAGGTCGACATGTTTTGCCATCTGACTCTTTATTCCAAATTTCAAGCTATATACTCTTTTTTTGTAAGAATTTTGTTATTCCGACCGAGGCTGAAAATATTCTTGGGAATATTCGCAGATTATAGAGTATTACGTTTCTGTTTTCGAATGTATTTGGTGTCTGGATGGTGTTCCTTGAAAATATAGTAATTTTTTGGGAGTCAACCCACGGGCAGTAAAGCCTGCACATAACGCACATAACTTGGCTTGTACACTTGGCTAGTGCTGTTTAGAGAAAGGAAGAATTTTATATGGTTTAGTTAAAAACATATAATTGTATTGTTTTGTAGATTTTTAACACACAAGATGATACTCTTTTCAAAAGTCTCGGGTTTATTCTTAAGATATTCTTAAAATTTCGCAAATTTCAGTCTCGATATGCTTATAAAATATATTCTTATAAAAAAGGGTGTATTTTAAATCTACCTGCGAGAAATCTCAAGCTGAGTGCAATAATGAAAAAAAAAAAAAAAAAAACGATTTATAAAATGTAAACTTTCGTTTGGAGTTGCAGTTTATTTCTTCTGTCTTATCCCGTTTTCACACTGTTTCTATAATGCACTTACTTAACGCGCCACGTGTCGTGGCTTTCGCATGAAGATGAACCCGGAATAAAAACAAAGATAAATCAATATTTGCCTCAATGAAACTTTATACAAGCTGGAACATCTACTTTTACTTGTGCTTAACTTGTTGGAAGGGGGAGGGGTTATGGTAACAGCCGGCGTAAAGGCCGGGTGCAATAGATATGTCATTTTGCGCGTATAAATAAAGTGACTGTACTAGGGTGAACGAACAAAGCACATTCTATCACTTTGTCATCTAAAACCCGTAATATTACACGGAGTTCAAGGTGACAAAATCGCTCGGAAAGAAATATATATTTTTATTAGCTAATCTGATAAGATATATAAAGTATCCTGTCTAGTCATGTCAAATCCGAAATGATAATTTTGTTTGACGTAATCACACGGAGATCTTCAAACCCTCAGTGATCTGTTCATTCCGTGATTTTCAGGTCGTAGCCAACTGTACATATGCTGATTGAAGTTGCTTTTAATGTGTCAAGTTTTGTAACTGTATCGAGACAGTTTTGAAACTGTGTATCTCATCACACACACTTGGTTTTTCAAATGTAACGATGAATTCCGCGAGGATGATGCCAAAACGTCGAGGTTGGAATTCAAAGTGGCTTCTCATCACCATATCTACTTTACTCTTCTTATGGTGTCTTGAGTTCAGCTTAGCAGCACCTATCCGGCCGCTACCAGACCCTAGCATGCCGTCCGCAGAACTCATCGATTCAGTCTCTGAAAAAGACGTTCTGGTGAGACAATCTTTTGTAGTTGTTAATTACTAGTTTCTAACATACACATATCCATTGTATTTAGGGTTGCAACTAAGCTATAGGTGCATATATATGGCATTTACTTACAGGCCTACCAGTTTTAATATCTTCTAAAAAAAAAAAAAACAACCCCTTGTCCAAAATTATCTGTTTTCTCAGCTTGATTCTCGACGAGTTCTTAATCAGTGTTAAAATGATCAAAAACACATTGCGTAAAAATGTTGGGAGTTCGTCTCCAGCAGTGGGCATTATCAAAGGAATCGTTGTAAGACTTGTAGGTACCTATGGTGTAGGTATATACCAGATGATAATTGTAAACTTGCTGTTTGATTCCGAATACACTATGGCATGCATTGTAAAATCGGGTGTGAGAGTCAAAAAACACAAATATTGCCATGTTAATTGGACAAAATGTCATTTAACTATTGCTGTATTTGCACCCGTGATACTTGATGGTTTTATAATGTCAAATTAATAGTCTCTGCTTTCCACGCATAGTGAAAATTATATAGTGTAATTTATCGATAACACCAAGCCTTGTTATGTGGCTATCTGTTCTATAAGGGAATTATCACCCTGGGTCCTTAAATAGCACGTTTTGACTTAAGAGTAGATGGCTCACCTCCAACGGGATTATGTTGCAAGCCTTTGCCACGCGTTGAACCGGCTAAAAGAAACAGTGCTGTGGAGTAAATTGAATTACCGATCTTTCTAGATGCCAGTCACTGTGCACGCGATCACGACTAGTGTTCACGCATATCAACATTGCGTCAGTCACTGTCGAAACCAAAAGTAGTCTTTCACAGGTCCAAACTTCCTTCAGTTGAAAAACGCAGAGATCGTTGGTCAGTTACAGCGAGTCTCCCGAGAGATTGTTACCTCTTATTCTAAAATGATTTTTATTCAAAGCTCACTTCCACTAATTTCCATTTTTGACCATCGTGGTTCTTGTTGACAGTACATGTAATATAAACTCGTTTACGGCAATGGGTGTGGCCAAACATGAGCGTTCGAAGAATTGATTGTGCTCGCGTATGACAAGAGTGATAATAAGAGTACAAAAATCAAGTTTGAGATTGCAACGTATATTGTAATGGACGAAACTCCGAGCCATCTATTCCGATAATTATCCATCATAATGTTTCAGTACCACTTAGTGGCTGTTCATCTAAAACACAAAATAAAGATGAAACTGATCTATTGACGGTTTTGTGTAATCTGTAACGACGAAAGGAAAACGACGCCCGCACTCCAAACACAACTCCAAAATGACCGGTGATTGTTATGTTTTTAAATTCCTGCAGTATAGTGTGGGCGGAAAACGTGACCTCCGTTTTCAAATTCCTCTGGCGCAGTGTGGACGCGGCTTTCACCGGCCTTTGACCAACCCAGTCTCTTAACCTAAACGCCTCATTTAACTTTACGGTCAATTGTATAATTTTCGTCAATAAGATTAATATCTCTATTTTCAGAAATGGATGCTCAAGTATAAGATAATCCTACCCGGACAATCCATTAATTTCACGGACAAGATCTCCTTGGTTCAGCACCGGGCAGGAATAAATGTAACTGGAGTGTTAGACTTTGAGACGAAAAAGCTTTTTTTAATTCCTCGATGTGGAAACACAGAACCCGAAGACGATCCTTTCCCGTACGGAGGACGATCGAGAAGAAACAAACCTGATTATCTTGAGAGAATACGTAGGATTAAACAGGTCAGTGTGACTAGGGGCGCATTTAGGGGAGAGGGGGAGGGTGGATTGGGTGGCTAGCCACCCTCCTCTTGGGAAAGCAAAAACGAAAAAGAAAAGAAAAATTGAAAAAGATCATAAATATTTTGGCGGAGACAAAACCAAGTTTGTGGCGTTCCTACTATTTCTAGTGTATTGAACAGATGTAAGTTAGACTCCAATTCTCAAATTGCAACATTTTTGAGATATGCTCCATCAGTAAATCTGCAACCCCAAAGTACTAGCCCTTCCCCATTGAAAAATCCTGGATCAGCCCTGATGACATTTTAACATAGTGGTTTTCTCTCCAGTAAAGACCAACTACACTCTTTTTTTTTTATAAGAATACGTTTTAAAAGACTATCGAAGCTGAAATTTGCGAAATTTTAAGAATAATTTTAGAATAAACTCAAGGCTGAGATTATGAAAAGAATATTAGTCTATTTTGTAGGTTGAAAGTTTTAAATACAATGTTTTTATCTTAGCCATATATAAGTCTTCCTTTCTCTAAAGGGCAGCTCTAAAGAAAACGAACAACAAAAGATGTTTTGTGTCTCATCAGTATTTACTGCCTGCAGTCTGGCTTCAGAAGAACTTTAGCGCCATCACATGAAGTCATGATACTCATAGTCCACTTTGTTTTACTATAATCTAACAATCTTCGCAAGAGTAATCGACAGAAAAATAAGAATATTTAGCCAGGGCAGAGAAAACAATATTCTTACATCAAAAAGAGTGTAACTGTTATCAGGCCATTATCACAAGTGATACTGATCATACCACTGTTAACTCTCCTACTAGATGAATCTTCAATACTACCCCAGTAGTCCCTCTATTTCTTGCTGTGGATCATGGGACACTGTCATATCACAAAAATGGGTACCCGACACTGACCTGAGGATCATCTTTGAATGGCGATTTCACTTTCCTTTCTCTTGACGATCCAGGAGAAAAATGCATATCGCCTGCGCTATATAATCAGTAAACAATTTTCTTTTCTTTAGGTTTGGGCATTCCGGATCTTAAATTACACGCCTCGTCTTTCTAAGAGCGTTCAAGATAAGACTCTTGGCAAAATGATGGGCAAATGGGCTAACGCAATTCCGCAGGCAGCCAGAATTAGAAGACAAAGTTCGTTCGATCCCGACGAAAAGGTCGGCGTGTTAGTTCGATTTGTAAAAGGAAACCACAGTGACTCATACCCATTTGATGGAAACGGAGGGACCATAGGTCATGCGGTACATCCAGACTCCATTACAGGTACGAATCAAGTGGCAACCCTTAAGCCTGAGGTCCAAGTGAACCCACTGATTTTGGATCAGATAATATGATTGGCTTCAACAAGTAATCAGATCCAGTGCAACCTGGCAAACGTTTTTCGAACCAAGGGTCCCTCATTCCCCGATTGCGGTAGCATAAGTTGGCTAGGACTACTTCTTCTCATCCACTGGTTTATCACGCTTCTTCCCGCAACCTATTGGAGCTAAATTATCTCCCCCCTGTGTAGTGCCTTTCGTGTATCTGAAATATTCTCCCTTTGAGAACTCTTGGTGGGAAATAGAACTAGCGCAGTTTTGCAACGTTTAGATGGATCTGAACACGCTGCTAGGAAACGGCAATGTTTTAAACAAAAATCATTCTTTGTCTTTATGATAAAACCCATATTCCTGGACAACCGAGACTAATTATGGCTGAATCTTTCATCATTTGCCTCAGGTTTTCCAACTGAAGTCCATTTTGATGACGATGAAATATTCACCATAGGAACAAGCGGCGGCATCAACTTGGACTGGGCGGCGCTTCATGAATTTGGACACAATTTGGGTCTGCAACATTCTAATGTGCGAGAATCCGCCATGTACCCATGGTACAAAGGTTATATTCCTAACATCGAGCTTAGCAAAGACGATATCAACCAATTACATGCGCTGTATGGTGAGTAATCCATGCAGGAAAAAGACAGAGGTTACATCTGGTGTTGCCTCTTAATGGCTCCGACGCCTTTAGTTTTCGTCCACGGTAAAAATGAATTTAATAATCATTTATGTATGGGAGAAGGTTTAAGAGAAATAATGTTGTTTGATAGCGGCAAGCAATATTTTATCGTGTGCTGAAATATATAATTTACCAACACTTAAGGCAGAGGCAGTGATCTGAAGGACGAGACACGGACGTCAACCACAGAGACGGCACCTACTGAGGCTACAACCACCAAGGCGTCCGCCACCGAGGCTACAACCACCAAGGCGTCCGCCACCGAGGCTACAGCCACCAAGGCGCCCGTCACCGAGGCTACAACCACAAAAGTGTCAACCACCGAAACTGCAACCACCAAGGCGTCAAGCACAGAGGCTACAACCACCAAGGCAGCAACCACTGAGGCGTCAACCACCGAAACTAGAACTAACGAGGCACCAACCGGAGTCGCGACCACCACTGAAGTATCCACGACCAAGACGTCGACTAC